CGGCAAGGAGTCTCAGAGCAAAACACCAAATAAAACACTCAGGGCAGCATGATAGAGGGATCACCTAAAGTCAAATCATTTCTCTGCACCAGAGTCTGTGGAAATAAAACCGAGAGGAGAAGGGAACATCCTGAAGCTGCGCTCCAGCAGCCCTTTTGTCGGGAATTCGGGCTGAAGTTGCAGAACTATAATAAGATTTCTTCTTGCAAAACACACCAACACTAGCTCCTGCTCTTGAGTAAGTGCAACACGAAACCACTCTCCAAAGGCTTTACCAGTTGCAGCACTAAGTTTAAAGCCTGAGGACAAGCGTGAGAAGAGCCCTAGCTCCACTGCTCCACACACCGTGCGACAGTGTCAGGTAGGAGACAAATGACTCAGAAGGGAATACCCAGATGAGTGGCCAACCACACTAGGAGATGGCAAGCAGAAGCCCTTTGAATAAAGAAATGACTAAGATTTCAGGAAGAGTAACTAGTACAAAAAAAATTGTGATTTCCTTCCCCAAACAGCATTTTTTCCAACTTTAGTTAATAGAAGTGCAAATGCATTTTAATCAGACACTTTCTATAAGATACAACTTTGTAGCAGTAATAACCACACACAAGAATTGAAATGTAGAATATCTATTAGTATCACTGAACCACACTTAAGTTCCTAGAAATAGCAGAGCTCAGCATCAGCTTCTGAGGTGCAAGGCCTGACTCAGGTACGTGTCGGGGATCTCGGGGAGCAATGATCCAAGTCTCTCTACAGCTACAGTGAGGAACCTGCTCAGCACCATCCCCACAAAGACATCAACTTCTTGTCCTTGATTCTCATGTCAAACATTCCCAGAGAAAACACATGCACGTACACACATACACATAGGAAAAGAAAGGTAAATTACTTTTATTTCTGTATGTGACTGAACATCTACACGCACCACCCTCAACACCATGCCTCTGCTTAAGGAGACCTTAAATCAAATCACAACATACTGTGAAAACTGTATGTGTGCTTTAGAAACTGCTGTAAAAATACAAATCTGCTCATAGATAGGAGTGGCTTTGCTGGTTTCTGGGAAGCATAGCCCCTCTGCCTTCCCCAGAACTGTTTTAAATAAGTTCAGATGAGGGGTAGAGAAGCACTGGAGAAGAGGTGCTGCTAGTTTCTTGTGTAAACAAACAATTTTATTAAGTGACTTTCAATAAACCAGCTGCTAAACATTTGCTCTGTATCATCACCACTTGCAAAGTGCTGAGATTTGGCTCCAAAGCAGGTTTAAAAAAAAACGCAAAGATTGAGAAGGAGAAGGTTAGGAAGCTGTGGATGTGGATGGTGTGCAGGCGTTCCCCGACACCCCGTGTCCCACTCCAACGCCCGCACCTGCAGAGGGAACTGCTCATTTCTCCTCATGTGACTTTAAAAAAAAAACTGTTTCCTTCAATCACACTTCAGAATAGAAAAACAAGAACTCAGGAAAGCTCTATTTCAGTAGCACGATGAAATACTGCTTTGTGCATGAGACACATCAACCCAAAAAACATTAAATCAGATCCCATAACTATTTCCAGTATGTGAGAACCATCCCAACCATTATCCCGAGAAATGCACTTCCATGCAGGGGACACACAGCCAACAGCCTCCCTGTTGGGACACACGGCCAACAGCCATACATAAACATATGTATGTTTACAATTTAGTCCAAAATCCCCATCTCAAGACAGACACACTCGCCATGTCCGTGCAGTCACCAGCTGTTATGGGCTCCAGGATGGAAGTGGCAAAACCCAAACCACATTAAAACTGAGGTGGCCCAAACATATGTTGTATTCACACAGCAAAAACCTGTAACTATGATTATTTACTTATACAATGAAATTCTCCCTTCTCTACTGTTTCATCTTTAGGTTTTTTACCTATTATTACCAATAACACAGAAATGGACTTCAAACTCAATGCTGTGACCCAAATGTTTCTGCCTGCACGCCCGATGCCCCCCTTGCTGTAGGTCAAGCTGGCAGTTACACCTCCTACACTGATGGAGGATACAGCAAAAGTCTTCATAGCCAGAGAATGTGTGAAGCAAGTCCAAACAGAAGAGAGATTAAATACTTCTACTACTCTTTCTCTTCCATCTGATTTCTTCAGCAACAAATGGATACAGACTTTTTTCTAAATTTTTTTTTCTGTTGTATTCAGCTCAGTCTGCAGTGTGACAAATTGCAATATAACTATACCTCTTTATTTCCTATTCCTCTACTTAAAATGAAAGAGATAAGAACCACAGAGATTTAGCCTATTTGTAACCCACTCTCATGACATATTTTATGCAAACAAACTAAAGGGATTAGAGAAACAACCTTTCCCCCCAAGTAATTACCAAGAAGCTTTTTAAGAACACTTTGCTATTATATAAATGCAGTTTAAATTACATTCTAGAAAAATCCTTGGAGCACTTCCCATAGTCACTTTTGCTATTAGGCAATACCGATGGCATGCACTGCTAAACTAAATATAAAATTTCTATCTACAAGTCACCACCAGTAGTCAGGAGTATTAGAGCAATTCTTTTGCAAAAGATTTGTTTTTGACAGATATTTCCACCTAAAGCTTCAGAAGAAAAAACCCAAACTTCAATAAAGTATGTATACTGCAATTCAGTATTAAAACTCTGGCAACACTGTTTATTTGAAGTGAAAGATACTTTCAGAAATACGGATTTTACTGTTCCACACAATGTCTCAAATCACTTTCATTATGCAACTGTGTGGATATGTTTGAAACTGCAATAGCACCGTTTGCTGTCACATCACTGGAAAAACAATAACAATAATAAAAAAAGAGCCCTGAAATGCCTGCCTCTTCCCTCCCTGCGCCTGGCTGCTCCCACCCACTCCTCTGCCCACTGCAGAATCAAAGTGCATTCACATCAAAGTGCTTTATGAGAAATCACCGATGCACCTACTGGGTTCTGAGCTGCAATTCCACGAGGCATCCTTTCTATTGAAGATGGTGAACTATGTTTTCACCCACCTCAAGGAATATAAGGTTGTTTTCTAAAGGCTGACTGTGTCTGCCTTGCCTTGTAATTACTTAATTTGAATCCACAAATAGTCAAAGAAATACAGCAAAATAAAGCATTTTCACATATGACATCTTGTAGATTCATATATCAATTACAAATAATTCCATTACTAATCTTAAAGTTAACCCCAAACCACTGGTATAAAACAACCAAGAGAGCAGTGGCATAGACTCATTATTAAGGAGTACGCCGTCTCCAAAATTAAAACATTTTCCTCTTTAAATTACAATAGTGATATATCATTTAATATTAGAAATCGCTACATTATTTTCACCACCTTGAATCAAAACATAAAATAAAAAAAAGCATAACAGGAAGAGCACGCACAGGACACAGGAGCCTGGGAGAAGTACTCCCCACGACGAGTGGAAGTAGCCTACACAAGAAGACACTTGGAAAAGTTGGAATTAATGACTTGCTGCAGGGGAAACAGCCTGGACATAGTTTTACCCGGTCATGCAGCCTCCAGGGCTGTGCCCAAGGGAACTCCTCACACAAAGCCCACGGCTGGGACTGGCCAACACCGTCTTAATGTGCACCCACCGGGCAACCGGGCTCCTGAAACCGCCGTCTTCCGAATCCTGTCTAACCCAAACGTTACACCTGAGCTTAATTATAGCTAGGGAATGCCTGTAATAAACGAGGACCCCCTCAGCCACCCGCAGAGCTCCTCAGCACAGCGCTGTTAGCAGCAGAGCAGGCTCCATCCCGCAGCAGAGAGCACTAACCCTCGGCACCGGCCCCAGGGGAGCAGGAGGGTTCCCCCGCACCCCGACACCCACACGGGGAACACATCCTGAGCAGGTTTGCTTCATTAACCTAAGTGCAAACCAACATGATATTTAAAGCCACGGAAGATAATGAATGCAACTACATTATCAATGGATCAGACGTTGAAATACTAAAAGATTAAGTTTAGTTGATAAACATTCAATCTCCCTAAAATTATAAATAATAGTCAGTCTAAGGAATTTAAAGATTAAAAGCTAGAGTTTTTATTAATGTCTGTAGTGATTTAAGATAGTCTCTATTGATGCCAAATAACTAAAAGATTACAGAAATAAAGGAATACAGACTTCAGCCCTATGACTTTTATTGAATAAAAAGTAGCTACACAATGCCTCTATCAGCCTAGATAAGACACATTGTAATATTGAACTGAATAGTTTTAGCAAATGACTTCTGGTTTCTTTCAGAATAATCTGCTTTCCCTAGACATTGAATTTAAACTGGATAAACATATGGAAATAATATTTTACATAACAAAAAATGGAAGTGGCGTAACAAGATGTGATCTTGTCCTACATGCATCTGCTGCATGTAAACCACTCCTCCGCTCTGAAAACATCAAACTTGTTGCATCCTGATTAGATTTAATGTACAAGGTCAGAAAAAAAGCTGTTCCAAGTTAGTTAATGAAAAGTGTCTTCTGTTTGCTGCAGCCCATTTCTCCGAGGCTCAGCTACATGTGAAAACCAAGTATTCACACACAAACGTGTGGTTTCAAAGAGGAAAAAGCTACAATAAAGTTGTAATTTATGGATAATAAAAGAAATAATATCAAAACCATCATATAATAAATCAAGTTAAAATATAATCTAAATCAATACATCTTTCAAATTTATCCTTCTAAAATAGTCCAAAGCAACTAGTCTGTAGCTTGGATGATTTGCCCATGTACCTACCCTCCACGAAGCCAGTTTTGAGTATTTGGCAGAACAAGATCTGTGACATCACTAACTGCAGTTCTGGTTTGTTCCTACCACTGAAAGTCACCAAATTTGGGTGTCTTGGTTCTTGCTCGACTTTTTAAATTATAGCTGAGTAGAACATAAATTATAGGAAGGCAATTAGATGAGACAAAGCATAAATGTATTTAATAAATTTGACCAAAGGGGGAAGTCTCAGCAATTATTCCATATTCACTTACTTCAAAGTCTCCTCCACTTTGCGAATCTTCTTTAGAGCATCCTCTCTTTCTTTATCAAGATCATTCCGGATGCCATGAATCTACCATTTGAAAGAAAAGAATACCATATTTTAGCTAAAACAAAGTCTGATTTAAAAAAAAAAAAGTTTCTTTTGCACGGATGAAGACAACCATCTATATGATTTTAAAATTACATAAAATGCAAGAATAAGGACTAACAGAGAGAAGTATGAAAATACAGCCAATAGAGCTATTTTTCTTCTCAAACTGAACAAAGAAATACCAGTAATTACATAAAAAGGCACCAGATTTTCTCTATATAAATACAGGAAAGCATATAGAAATCTGCCTAAAATAGTGACATTTATTCTCTATGGAGTTCCTACTTACCAGTTTGTGAACACCCAAAGTGAACTACTTGTTATCAATTCTTACAGCAATAAAAACCCATGTATATACTGGGCATGGAATATCCCCAGCTCATCCTGTCTCTGCTCCCTTTCGGCTTGGAGGTCCTTGGCTTACTATAAACATGACTTAACAACTAAACAATATGTGTTATCAACATTATTCTCATACTAAACCCAAACCACAGCAGCTACCAGGAAGAAAATTAACCCTACCCCAGCTGAAACCAGGACACTCCCACTTCCTAAATTCACTAACCAGGAATAGACATTTTTAAGAAGAATTCTTTCTGGTACTTCTGGATCAAGAGAGGAAAGCAGCTTCAGAATCTGGCAGCCTCCCAGGCATGGTCCAAACCATGGGCTTCCACAATATTTTTTGCCAAAAGCAGCTGAAGTAGAGAAGTTAGTTCTGCTTTTAGGATTGCTCCAGTAGCAAAGCAGCAATGCGACCTGCTGACCATGCTGTTCCTTGCTGGATGGATCCTTTATTTGCCTACAGTCATTTGTAGTGTTACATGCTATTAAGTCACTACAGTAAAGAATAATGTGTTTCAATAAGTGTATAGGCAGAAGCATAAGAATATAGTCAATGAAAACACACGTGCAGAGAGTCTCTGCTGGAAGCAGTTCCGTGTAGGCCTTTACTACATGGAGGTCCAAACACTTGGTTTGAAAGAGCGTCATATTGATGGGCTGTCTCTCGGCGAGGAAAGAAGGTAATGTCAAACCTGGTAAAATTATATACATCTAACAGCTGGCTCAAGAATGGCTCTCAGGAATAATCTGTCACCGTTCTTGTGCTGAGCTGAATGTTTGGAAAACAAGCAGTAGATTACTTATAAAACCAGGTGTTTCCTTTGCTTGTAAAACCATTTAGCCTAACTGGTTCCTGATTCAGCAGATAAGCACATTTAATCAAGCAGTGACATTTAGGGTTACTACCTATTATTTGTTTGATGTTTAAATATCCTAGCAGGCAATAGCCACTTTAGACTAATAAAGATTATTAGATAATGGGTAGGTTCTTAAGTGAACAGATTGCACCAGACACTTCACGATTCCTTTACTTGAAGGCAAACTTGTTTTAGTATTTTATGGCCCAATCTATTCTATTTTATGGGTTTATATCCATAGATTGTTCACCTGTATTTTCCTCCTCTGTCTCAAAGGCTGGATTTCAAAAAAACACAACTCTATCAAAATCTATGAATAGGCAAACTACTGTAAAGTTATCTATTAAAAATAAAGGGTCTGCTTTCTTGTTTAGTGGCGGAGTTAACAGCTCCAGTCCCTGCACGTGGCAAGAAGGAACTGCTGACACACTCAGCCCACGCCAAGGAGCCTTCTCCCAAACGATCCTCAAACCTCATCCAAGATTTACACCAACCATTGACGTGTTTGAATTACATTTCCTTTCAGTTAAATAGGCATTGAACACATTCTCTTACCAAACACTGCGTGAGCTGACCATGTAACATCACGAAAATGGAAGTTTCATTTGAAACCTATTGATGTTTGAAGTCTAAAAGAGCAGACAGTATTTGCAAAGTGCTTTAAGATGAAGCGGGTTTGACGAAAATGGTATTTTTTTAATTTAAGCTTCTGAGGTAAAGCAACGTATGTTAACAATGTATAGAGAACACATTCAAATCATGGAGAAGTATGGAATAAAGATATATTGGGAAAAAAGAAGTATGGAAGAACATATGAACACTGACAAAAGGTCAGGATAACTGCAGTTTAGTTCACTATCTTTTCTCTAACAGCTGTTAACATCAGCAGCGTATACAAACAGGACAGCACTTCTGTGGTGATGCTCTCCCAGCCTCCATCACGTGGCAACGGGTATCCAGAATCAGAGATGATACCCCTATACTTTAACAGCTGTATTTAAAATCTTCCTTGAAGCCGTCTAATTATTTTTCCAACCCACTTGAAATGCTTGGATTCCAAAATTTACTTATTTGAGGATTTCAGAATTTAAACCTTTAGCTCCTGTATACAACAAAAACAAAATTGGAAACGTGCATAAGATGTAATATTTTCCTGAAAACATTACCTGTTTTTCATAGACACACTCCAAGTGAAGTTTGTCCTGTTGAAGCTTGTATTCTTGATCCTGCAACGGAAGAGATGTGTATTCTAAATAAACAACATTTTTCTTTCATTTCAAATTGTCATTAAGCACACACACATTTGCTATTATACAGAAAAGTCCATAAAAATTAAAAATCTACTTTATATCATCATTAAAATATTCTTTGACATACAAAAAAATTCAAACAACAGCAAAAATATCCACCCGCAACAAAACTATCTCGAAAGTCATGATTCATGTTTTCTAAAGAGAAACAGCAACTTGTTTTCCTGAGCTATTAAAATGCCATTCTGTACTACATCAACTGGGAAATGAAGACATAGGAGGAAAAGTAGATGCCAAAACACAAACAGGACTGAGACATGATACAGATGTGGAACTTATTATCCTGAGAGAGGAGGATTAATTTAAATATCTATGGGAAGACAGAATATTGAACTGAACTGTTAAATAGGAACAAAAATAAAAACAATTTTGAAACTTACTTAAAAATGTTTACAGCTTAGGAAAAAAAAAAGATATTCATAATTCTTTGACATCCTTCTCTCTAATCCACTGAGCCAGGATTATACTGCTGTAATATATGTGTACTACAACAAACTGTCAAAGAGTTCTCGTGAAATCTGCTCTTCCCAATAAAGTCATACTTTTAAAATCAAGCCTTAAGGATAAGGTGACACTTGATATACTTCTATAAAATCAAATCCATCCGAAGAGGCATGTTGTATAGAACCACATTTGGTAGAGGCAGCTGAACAGCCCAACTGCTGGAGAAAGGAAAAGGGGCTGGTCATTGTGGAGTGAGAGACGCAGGGCTCACCCTCAGCTCCTGCTGCCTCTGATGCTCTGAGTCTTGCAACTGTTGTTTCAACAGACACACACTGCGCTGCAGCTCTTCGATCGCATCAGACGCCTGTAGGGATTTAACACAAAAAGGAATTTTTGTGCTTCATTCCCCATTAGCTCTACAGATATATCTCCTGTGCTTTTAAATTTATTTCTCAAGGGAGCCTGGAATCCAGAGAAAATTACCAACTTGGGAAAAAAACCTGTATGAGTGTACAGCTCCAGCTACGTCACTTCTGCCCATCTGGTGAACTTAGAAATATAAACAAAACCACAGAGAAATCACTACTAATAAAAAAAAACCTTGGCACTAACAATTGAAAGAAAGAAAAATACTTTGTAAGTTAAGTAAAGCATCATCAAAACTCCCAGAATTCCAGAAAATTAATGCAAAAGAGCCCATTTGTCCTATGGCTCTAAGGATTAGCAGATGGTATTTAAAACGTGAGCCTTTTCCACAATTATTTACCTTGAAAATTATATTAGATATATACCATGTATCTACTTATGTATGTTGGTAGATATCAACCTGATAGCTGTTTTTACAGACACAAACCAGAATTATTACATTTTGGGTGGAATGTACGCTCACAAAATTTAAAAATTATTTCTTGAACACATAAATATTTAACATAAAGTTCCATATTAAGAGTTGTGCAAGACAGTTTAATTCTGAAAAAAATATTTTCCCTCATCGAGGGGGTCTTACGAAAACATTGTCTTCAAGTGCTCCAAGGTCCTCTGGTATCTGGAATTCTTACAGAAGCACAAACCAAACGAGCACATGAATTGCACCTGACCTGCATCAGCTGTGGAAACACCACCTGTACACCAGCAGCATCAGTCAGCTGCAGATGATTATCACTCAAATATGGAAATGAAAAATTAAATCACAATTTTTTAAAGTTCTGCATGTGAATAACTTCGGGAACTGAGCAGTTTATTCATAAGCATTACATTTATATGGAGGAGACCAGGTAAAGAGCAAACACCGTTCCCCGTGGAAGCATACCTTCGCTGCAGACAGAGCGTGCTCCTGTTTTATAAAATTGATATCAACATCAAATTTACTTTGTAGTTGCTGGATGTTCTCCTCGTATTGCTGTATAATATGGTCCTTGTCTTTCTGCAGTAAGCTGTGCCTACAAGTCGGAAGCAAACAGGATATGGAAATTGCTTTCATATTTTGGCCTCTCACCCGCTCAGCACCAATCCTGCGGAGCACACGGGTCTGCGGCTGCCGCGCACCCAACGGAACAGAATTAAATGCTTATAAACAACACAGAGATAACACACTCTTTGTGATGGTCGTTTGGGTCAATTTCGAAATGAGTTTTACATCAATTACTATATTTTCATGACAATTTTCTAATGCTGATTACCAATCACTGAGTTCTTGAAATAAAATTAATAATGTTTGCTTTTGGAAATTCCATATTCTTCAATGTTACAAACAGCAACTGCTACTCAATTACCTCGCCTTCACTTCCTGAAGCTCAGCGTATATCGCCTGGTAACGTTGTTCTGCATCAGCCTTTTCTTGAGATAATTTTTGTCGCTGTAAATTGCTATTTTCAGCCTCAACAGTCAACTGCTGGACACGAGCCTCCAGTTTTTTGACCGTCTGGTTCTGAAAGAATAGGTCATTGTTGAGAAAACCCCAGAATAAATGAGGATATACCCCTGTTGTTGTTCAATAGCCTAGAGCAACCAGGTTCTTTGGTGGTCCAGAGGCACAAGAGTTACAATAGCAAAGCTGTCATCAACCATGACAGTAAATTTTATGTTGCATATAAAAAAGAAATAAATCTTCAAAATATGGATGTCTATTTCCCCCCAAAAGTAACATCTTCTCCCCTAAGCAAAACAATATGTGCAACTGATTTCTAAACTACAAATGTTTTAAAGTGAGAGAGATGACAGACATTTCTATGGAAAACTGTAATGGATGATAATACATGTAAAGCATTTTTAGACCTTCTATTAACCAAAATGTATCTTATCACTAGCAATATGTACAACCTGCATGTGGGAAAGAGTATTGGAGGAAGAAACTATATATAAAAATATTTTACTGATCATTATGGGGATGAGGAGCTATAAAAGTCATCTAGAAAACATATTAAACTGTAGAGCATCCAGTGAAATCTGTAGGTCTTTCACGCTAAGATATTCTTCTGAGTACTTTTACAACCACCATATGTTTACAAATATAAATATATATATATATATATCAGATTTCTAAACTAAACCAAAGAGCAATACACTTCAGTTGCTAAAGAATTACAGATTTTAAACAACTGCCTTTTATGTGCATGCTTTGGCAAAACCACCTCCAAGGATATAAACAATAAGATACAGATTTGGAGGATATAAGAACAACATTATAATACAAATGCGACATAAACAATGTGAATGCTTCTGCTTGCGTTTCAAATCAATTATCAAATATTGACTAGATAATTCACCAATCACCTTGTACGGTAAGTGCATCATCTCCATTTTCTTACTAGAAAACAGAGGCAGGCAGAGCAGGAAGGTGTGCACAGAGCTACAGCAGATCCCAATGAGGACTGAGTGTGCCTTCCTCCACCTCTGCTGGCACAGCTTTCCTAACCCACCTCTCCGTGTCATTTGCATTACAGTGATTTCCTTTCAATAAATAACAAACACCTATCAAAGGCTGTATCTTGTAGCCAGAACTTGATCCCCTAATAGAAACAATTTTAAAAGTGAGCAGAACAAGAGCAGGCAGGTAGCACGCGACTACTTCACTACTTCTCCTTCTTCCCTGTATTTACATTAATATGCACGGAAATGAGAGAAGAATTCCTCAGGAGGCTGGAGTCAAAAATAAGACACAGCTGTCCCTCCAGGATGTACGTATCATAGTTATTTTTATATTAACAAAGGTCCAAAGATGGGGGAAGTGGAACAGTACATTTGCCAGCCCAAGTCAGTGCCCCAGGTGCCACGGAGCTGTTAAATGAGCCTGGAGCAATGTGAGACACTCACAGCCAGGACACTCACCCCAACTCCTCAACTGCCCTGAGACACCTCATCCCCCTACAGCAAACTGCTCCAGCACACAGCAGCTGCACAGCACAGGGCTTTCTTGGGGCAGGGTGAGGGGAGAGGGAAGGAGTTGTTTGGTTTTGGTTTGTTTTGCTTTGTTGTTTCTTTGTTTGTTTTTAAAGAACAACAAAAAAAAGAACAAAAAGAGTCAGAGCTAACATATTACCAAAGATCGTAACTCCTCCCTGCCCCAACACCCCTCAAATTTAATACTGCTTCCATGGTGTTAGTTGAAGTGTTCAGTCATTCCCACTTGCTAACAGCAGTGCCATTCCTGACAGCGTGGAAAACTGAACAAGAAAACTCTGAAATACCAACAAAAAATAACAAAAATCAGGAGAGAGAGAGAAAGAGAGAGAGAAAAAAAGAAAACTAATTTCCAGTGACAGTCTAGTCTTTCATCTTAAGCCCTGCCTTGAACTCTACCTTGTTTAATTATTAAATCAGAAGCTGCTCAGCAAGATCTGTCTACTTTTGATGGTTCTTAAATTCAATCTTGCTGACAGACTGTGTCCATTTTTCTCTGTATTTACTGTTACTTATGACATGATCTGAATGCTAATTTTTAATTCAACATTCATTAATAAAGGAATAAATTTTGTTTGACATTGTCTTTCACTCATTGAATTTTCTTTATAGCTCATTCTGATAAGAAGTACAGGATGCTTTCTTGAGGATAATTGTTAATTTTTTGCTTTTTACTCATTTATATAGTGGGCTCAAAATCCAGATTACACCCGGTAACATGTTTCTAATTATTCTAGGAAAGTAATGCAAGAAATTAGAATAATACAATAATTACTTTAAAAATCCTTTTTATTTGATCTTCAATCTAACAGAAGCATTTGATCATTTGGAGAGGAGGTGGGTAAGTAAGAAGCCACAAGTATCTGTGAAAATAGATGTACTATATAAATCCTTTTTTATAGCGTACAAGCCTACAGAGCCAGAAGTTCTGCTGACTTGAATAAGACCAGCGAGAAATCCTAGAAACAGTCCTTCAATACAAACATACACGTGTGCAGTGTTCGTCAAAGGGCTGGACTTGGAGGAATTTTATCCAGGGGGAAAACTCCTTGGTTGGCCTGGCTGCCAGGACACTGGTGTCTCCCCAAACACAACAACTGCTCTGCACTATCAAAACATGGCTGGCTTCAACAGTAGTGATGTGAGCTTTTGTGCAAATGCATGAAATTTGGATACTGCAAGAGACACTTGCTGTCGTGACATAATTACAAAAAAGACTTACAGTTGACTTGATCTGTTCCAAATAATCTTCCTCCATTTTGCCCAGACGGGCATTGGTGTCCTCAAGCAGCTCCTGCATATCTTCTGTGTGCTTCTTCCGAATGTTGAACTTCTCCTTCTCCATCTCAGCCACAGCGTTGTGAAGCTGCATCACAAAAATATTACCAAATAAGAAACAGCATAGAAAACTAGCAACATACATGCTTTTGCCATTCTCCACTATTCTATTTGTTTACATCTTTAACTGAACACCAAGGACTTTTGCACAAAATTAATGAATTTCTATTATGGAAACACGGATACTCCCTCTGAATCCTCACACGGCGGTTCACCTGCCTCTCCCTCTGTAAGCAGCTGCAGAGCCCTGACTATCTACTTGTCTAATAAAAGGCTTATTTGTGCCATTACTAACCCTTGATTTATATTCTGAAGACCGGTGGCCTCCCTTTCTAGTTAAGCAGCTTCAAAACTAAATTTTCCATCTATACAATTGACACGGCATTATTCTTCACTAATTAGCACACAAAACTCATCTGGTGTAGTGGTTGTGTAACAGCTATTATGTATTTCTCAAATTTCTAACAAACCCTTTTCCTGGCTGGGGGAGAAAGCTGCAATATACAAAATAAAAGCAGCATTCTAAACACACGGCTAAAATCAGGTTAATTTGCACAAATATAGACTTTTTTCCCCCCAACATAAACACCACCAAAATCCCAGAGGTGTCTGTGAATCTGGATCAATATTTAACAGAACTTCAACAGTGGGCAGTAACTTAAGATTTTTCATACAAAAGATAAGAATACTAATAAATTATTATAAGTATCATGTATATACTGTGGTGTTCAGATCTGCTGAATTTGCAATCCTTTTAAAATAATCTGGGAAAATAAATAAATACATAAGTATTTAATCTCCAGGTGCAAAAGTTATAAATAAACCCAAGAACTCTGGGAATGTCTCTGCCTTCTGTACAACAGACAGTTGGTAATATTTGCATTATTGCCAGCAACATCTATTCAAATAACCTGCATCTATTCAAAGGAAAAATACTACTATTTCTGTGTATGTAAAGTTATAAAAATATTGCAGTATTAACTTCTACTGTATTTCCATCATAATTCCCACTATCCACTTTTTTCTCTAAAATACACGCTCCGAATTTAATTAAAATTAACATTCACTTTTTAATTTGCCTTTTTAATTGCACCCTGGCATCACTGATGACAATTACAGCTGTAGGCAGAGCTCTTGCCAGGTAACTGCAAAAGTGGGATGACCCCAGGCTGAAAATAATGCTTCTCTAAAACAAAACAAAAACCCCCACCTAACACTGAAGCCTCGAGGTCTTAAGCACAAAGGAAAAGATTTACGATTTATCTCTTACAAGACAAGAATTAAAACCAACTTCACTTCCAGATGCAGGGCTGCAAAAAAAATTAGATTAAAGACCATACTTCATCTATGAAGGGAGGTGGTTTTGCCCTTTTTGTGACCCCCCCCTCTCCGGAGAGGGGTAAGCAAGATAAATACTGACAATAATCTGGGCAAAGGTGAAGCTGTCTTGCAACAAACACGCTTTTCTCTCTGCTTTGCTGCTGTCTTGAGTCTAACAAGAAATAAAAATACATTGAAGAATTCATGACCCAATGCAAAAATAACAGTTCAAAGGAATCACCGTGGCAGCAGGTAGCAGCAGGTTTACCAAGATTAAAATTCCATGTCAGGTCAACCAGAAATAAACACTTCCCTAATACATCCAGGGACTTGCCAAGAGGGGCAGATGAACCCGGGAACAGAGTGGCCAGCCAGGCAGGGACCAGCAGAGAGAGTCTTGCGAGATTACTCCAGAAAAAAATAAAATCAGTATAAGAAAATATCACTACATGTAACATATTCCTTATATTTATTTTTTTAAGTGAGGAAATGTATTATCCCAGATATGCACTGTAGGTGTCTTTCAAGGAACACAAGTGTTATTCATTACCCTTTTCTCCCACTCATTGTTCAAAGAATCATTGCTTTGCTCACACATCTTCTTCAACTCCACAATCTGCTTCTCTTTCGCTTCTCTGACGACTTGTGACTCACGAACAAGGGTCTGAACTGTCAAAAATGAGAAAATAAACAACCATTCAAGAGATACCTTTGGAATTTTTCAGTGTTGGCAGCAGATGCAATCGGCTCGCACAGTTTTCCCATTGACCTGGCTTTCTGATGTTTTCTGGCGTAATCCATGTGCTTTAAAATTTAGCACTTAAGATTCTGTGTCACTAAAATATTACAAGGTGTTTTCTCTTCTCTATTTACAAAATATTTCACCGTGAGCTTTCCTCACTCAAGCAGTAAATATACATCAACAAAATTCTGTATAACCCAAAGAAAACAGGCATTTTTAACCTGTTTCTATGTGCATCCTTAGAAGAAAAAGTTCTCGTAAATACCCAAGATACAAAAGGAAATTAACTTCCCCAACTTAATCAAGAATTCAGAGTCTGACAAATTTTGCAGCAAATAGAGCAAGTAGAAGTTCACTTTTCAGAAGTGACTGATGATGATTTTCCCTCTCTGGCAAGAGTGTAGGTGACACACACAAGCCCTTACAGCTGAGCACAACCACCAGAAGCACCAGATCCCTGGCTGGAATTTACTTTCCCAAGAAGCAGGAAACAATACACATGGAACTCCCTCCCTGTTTGTACGTAAATTACCAAACTAGTGTATTATTTTACACTGTGGTTTAGTCCATAGTGTAAATGGACTCCAAGGAATTCTAAAAGAAACTAACGTTCAAAAACTGCTGACAAGCCACACTCAGGCCAAGTTTAGTATTTAAGACACATTCAAGCTGACGACTCGTGTTTGAAATCTCTTGCCGCAATAGTCCTAAATAATACATTGTGGTTTGACTAAAATGTACTGAATGTAGAAATAAATTAACCTTGAGCCAGAGATTCCAAAAGGTTTGAAATAAGTGGTCAAAATGCTTTGGTAGCATCAAAGAAACTTTTTTTGGTGATGCTCATAAAACCTGTAAGTATTAAATATAACAAGATCACACTGCCTCTTGGAAAATTTGGGTTGGAAGCTGTACAGCAAAGACTACTGCACAAGCCTCTAAAAATCTAAAGGCAAAAATCAGGTCAAGACCTGCAGCTGAAGACGAAAGGAGGATCTGCGCAGAGAAGGAACATGCAAGCCCATGGCCATGAGAAGGATGCAGTGCAATACCACCAGGCAGAAAACAACAACCATAGATACAAAAATCACCTTTTTTCTCCAGTTTTCTAATTGCCTCCTCAGCTTCATTCTGTTTATTTTTGTAGAGGGACTTCAATGCCTCTATTTCATCATTCTTTCTATCCAAAATCTGTAAGGAAAATTCACAATACTTTAACAGAAGTCCAAACCCCCAAAACTCCAACCAGTGCACAAAACAACATACACTGGTCTGCGACAAAGGAGCTGCCTTCAAGAAGCGCTGAGGTCGTGCAGGACTAAGTGACTGAATCTAAGTAATTTTCACAGCTAAGACTGTCAAGTTATAAACAAAGGATTGATTTAGATAAATGTAGGCAGTAGAGTAGATTAAAAGTAGTTTCATGTTTTAGTAGGGTCTTTTTGTTTTCTTTTAAATAAGCAAATCCCACATTGCTTTTGTCGAGTTTGGAAGTTTCATGGTGCCACTACTGCAAACAGAAAGGACTTGTTTATTTTCTCATATTTATGTTCCCTAAAACTATTCAAAAGCATCTGAAATTCTCTGCAGGTTTAAGAAATACTTAAATAATTTTTTAACTTTATTACACTCTTTTGTACTTCACCAATTGCAGTTCTTCACGTATATTCCAAGAGACAATGGTTGGAACAGAGCGAGAACACGAGGTGGAACTACATGCACATTTCTGTACACGCTGAGTTTGGGGAAAAAAAAAGCTCAAATATTTTCATACTTTGAGATAGTATTTTAATTTAAGCTTCATGTTTAAGATAAACATTAAAGTTACAGAAATTTTATAACAATGCCCCAAATCTCTCATCAAGCAGAAGCTTTCATCTTAAAACAATATTACTCCATCTCCATTAAACAGTTTGTGTCTTTAAAGATTAATATGACACTATTTAACCTTTTCTAAAATATCCAACGTTATTAAACAACTTCAAAAGACAGAATTCTAACATCAGTTAGAAAAGGATGACAACTCCAGCGATGAGAAAGCATTTAAACTATTTCTTATTCTCACAAAGCTGTTTCCTCTAGACTCCCAGCTTTGCTAACTGGTTTTGCGGGCAGACTTTGAGAGCAGGGGAGCCAAATATGCACCTGACCAAATATTCACATCCTTTCAGGAGGCTTTGATGTGTCATGGTGTTGTGTCAACGAACTTCCTCCAAGTCTGTGACTCAGTCTTAAGAAACACAACAGAGGTGCTCAGTAAAGCAAAGCTTACAGTAGGGTAAGTCATCGCGATCCCGATGCCAAGCGCTTCACTCCCCTTACATTCCTGGGATCAGGGAGCTTCAGGAGGCACTTAGGACCCCACAGAATTTGACCCCACATGTTTAAAACACGGTATTCAAAGTTAACAGTGTGGTCTTTGACAGTCTTTTTGTAATCTTCCCAAAAGTGGTGTTACACAACACAACACAGACAAATCCAACCTAACCCAGAGGAGGTCTCTCTGGTGTCATTCACTGCTGTGGGGAACTGAGAGCCCACACAGCTCTAAGATGCAGTAACACCAACCAGTTCCCTGACCAGACTCTGCTTTGGGGTGCAGTGTCAAAAGGGAGACATGGGAACAAGCGCCGTTGCTGTAGCAGTAGGAACAGGCAATGTACTTGCAGGTTTTCTTACTGGTTTTTTGCATTTTGTCCATAAAAATTTCATTGTTTTAAGTGTATTTGCTCACATTTTTCTATAATACGAGTGCTTCCTCTCTAAAAAAAAAAATAAATCCTGATTTTCTAATTTCATAAGCATATGAATCCATAGAGCTGTAAGGCTGGAAAACAGGTTGTCTTGTTCAACAAACAAATCCTCTTGTATTTTCACCTGCTCTCTGCAAGCCTTTTGCCCTTCTGCATTCCTGTCAGCTTCTACAAACTGTGACCGACAGTCTTACTGTAAAGCAACATTAACTGCAGTTGTGAAGAAGGTGAAGTACAACTGCAAATTATTTATTTATTGTAATCAGACTATTATTTTCTTCTATATACTGTCTTTGGAAACAAAATACAAACACTTCTTACCTTTTGAACATCAGTATCATGCTTCTGCTGCAATTTAAGTTTTTCTTCATGAAATTTACCTTCTACTATTTTCATTTTCATGTCCAGCTTTAAAAGCAAAATAGAACATATATATAACTAAATTAAAGAGTAAATTACACTAATTACCTTTGCATAACTTTAAAATTACTCATTTATTTCTTTGAGAAGACAATGGGAAGACACTAGCAAATAATTGCTACAAAAAAAATATCTATATTCAGTTTGTCAGTATTTTCATATTTATTTCATAAAACTGTTACAAAAGACCTAAACCAAAAACATTTATTTAGAAAATGAATTTGTAAGATGTGTTAGTTGGCAATAAAAGCAGCTGCTACTGCCCAGAAAAAGCTATCATCCTTTATTTAAATAAACACTTAAGAATGAAACTTTTAATATTCCTGTTAACATACCAAGGGTGGTAAACTTGCTTTTATTCTTTAGGCAGGTGTTACATTTATATAAAGAATGTCCGTTAGCCGAGATGCATGTTCCTTTTTGTTTGTTTTCTATTATTCAGAGATTTCACACTATAAACACATTTCCTTTTAAAGGTGACTTATAAGGGGATTGAGGATATTGCTGCTGAGTTCGACTGCTGAAGTACATTTCCTGCTTCTGCCTGTTTGTTCAAAGTAGCGTACGTGAGCCCTCTGACACAGGAACACATCACCACTGACTGATAGTCTAAGTTTGCATCTTAAAAGTATTTTTAAATCTCTTGCATACTTTCATTCCACCATTACAGACTGTCTTCAGAACTCTGCAAACATGAAATGTATTTTCTGCTTCTCAGAGTTTTCTAAAAACCAGAAGTGACACCTCAAGTTCAGATCCAGGCTATTCCACTTCTACATTTAAACTTTTCCACTCTTCAGAAAGCAAAGTGGACAGAAAAGTTTCCCCAGAGTGACATCTCACCACAAAATGTCCTTAAGTGTTTTGCTGCCAACAGAAAAGTCTGTATTTGCCTTTTGGATGTTCTAAGAGCCCGTGGTGCTGAGGTCCACCCACCCTGGAGCTGGACACTGGACTCCAGCCACCATCTAGCTATTTTCAGTTCTCAGAAGTTTTGTTTAGCTCAACTAAGAACCTGACTTCTAGCCCTCTCAACTGAGAAACTCTAAAAGAACCAACAAGCATTTTGCCTTCTGCCTTTATTTTTATTCCTTTGACTTATCAAAAGTAGTCACTCAGGCATGAACCTTTATCTAACACATACAAACAATAAACACATTGCAAATGATTAATTTCTTTTATAGGATTACTTTGTGTTATCTGTTTATGCTTATTATGATTTGAAAATGTGAGCTACAAAAATTAAGTCAAAAATGCAATACTAGGAAGAAATTCTTCCCCCTGAGGGTGGTGAGAGCCTGGCCCAGGTTGCCCAGAGAAGCTGTGGCTGCCCCATCCCTGGAGGGGTTCAAGGGCAGGTTGGAGGGGGCTTGGAGCAACCTGGTCTGGTGGGAGGTGTCCCTGCCCAGGGCAGGGGGGTGGCACTGGGGGGGCTTTAAGGTCCCTTCCAACCCAAACCACTGTGAAAAGACTCCTCAAGAACTGAAAACAGAAAAAGCAAGAGCAGCAAATCCTTTTGATTTCCAGACTCCACATCCACTGATAACCAAAGTACAAGCCTGATTATTACACCACATATAAAGAGGCTACCTATCTCCCAAGACTAAATAGGAACAAAGTCTTAGGCAAATTACCAGAAAAGTTAGATTGACAATTAATCCAAATAAAATAGATAGTATTCCCACTGTCAGTCATCTCTTTTATCATCCAAAAATAAGCATCATGATAAAAATGCATGTTCTATTCATAAAATATACACATATGTATATATGAAAAGAAATATATGCAGATATACCTCCAACAAAGTGACATTGTAGAAGAAAATCTTAGTACTAGGTGATAAATAAGTGTTGATTTAAAAAAAGAGCACAGTAATCCGCTTCCAGATAGACAGTTTGTGAATATTTCATAAATAAATATGAAGGCCTTGTAAAAACACAAATACTAGAAACTAAACATGAAAGAGACTCCAATCTGCTTGAATTACATTAAAAGCTTATGAATTACTGATGTATAGCTATTGCCCTTGCATAGCTATTAAATCCCCACAAACACACTACATTCAAAAATCATTAATAAAGTAAGAATGTCATGGCCCATAGAAATTAATCCTTGGCAGTTTGCATCAGCTGAGATCTGGGCTACATGTTATTATTCTGTAGGTTGAGAAAATAAAAATAAGTCACAGTCTAAAGTTTGTCTTGTGTTAAACACGGATGTCTGTTTGCAAGTGACAGCGACTGTTCTCAGCCACGTGGCTCTTTTCCCCCAGGTTGACAGCAGAAATCCCTCTGCTTGAAGCTGCCCCTCCTGGTCATCCATCTTCCACTCAGCACCACTCTTGCACTTGCACTCACTCTCATCAATTTAAGTTCATAAATACATTGTACGACTTCTACTAGAACAGCCTTCTCTTCAAATTTCAGAGATTTTTGGGACTACTTTCCAAAAAGGACTGACAGCTTGGCCTTAGGAGAGCAGTTACAACCAAACAGCAAATTTGAAAAACATGTCCAAGATCCAGAAGTTGGCTCTTAATGAAGGCAAGTGCTCTAATAACAAAACAGACTACTTTTTCTTTGAATACTAACATAAAAGAAATCTCTTACTTGAAAAATCCTAAAGATCAGCTCCTCATTAGTCGAGGGCTGAAAAAGTGACACCTTCACCTCAAGGTCCCTGACTTCGATAAACTTACAACAAAAAAGCCTACATTACCCCACCCTGGCTGCTTTGTCCACAACTTACAGAATTTTGTCCCTTCCGGACCTACTATAGAAATAAATGTGAGAAGCCCCATATTGAAGAGTTCAAAATTCAAACGTACGTGGAGTTTTTCAGCTACTTCTAAGAGAAACCTGTATTTATAATGAATACCTGGTAAAAAATGAAATAAAACAAATCTCCAACAATATTTAAGTTTTATAATGGTCTATAGTTCCAAGACATACACACATATCTTCATCACAGCTTCTGGAAGTGTTAATTTGAGCATTTGTTGTAAAAATAAAGATATATTGCTTTAAAAATCCTACACTTACAATTTCTTCTGTGGAAAAGTGCTGGAACAGCCAGAAAGCCCAATGACAACAAAACAGTGTCCTATGGCAAAGCCTGGAGCACTGATTCCACGTATAAATCTGCTTTTTGACCCACCCCACATAAGGCACACTTCCCATCTCACAGACAGAAAGGGGAGTCACACGAGCACATTTTTACAGCTGATCTCGTTAAGGGCTCATCGCTTCACAACGGGAGTGAAACTTCTCCCCTCCCATTTCAAAGCTTAAATGTGTTATTAAATACTAACTTCAATAAAGGAGCATCTTTCAAACTAAAACCATACCAACCTGCAAACACATACGCGTAGTCACCAAATGTCAAACCCCATTTGCTGTCAGTCTTCATTTTCCATGAAACAGCACTTTGCAGCTTCCTGTGCACTTCAGCTTTTCTTTATTTATTAAACATACACCGAGAAACAAAATAACCTACAACAGTATCAAAGCCCTCCAGAAGTTTTAGACATAACAGATAAAAACAACTTCGAAAAGTCATTCACCTTGTTGGAAGCAAATCACTGTGCTCATGCTCATCAGTTTTAATATCTTTTTTTACCAGTTAATAGGCAGCAGAGAACATGAAATTTATGGCATGTTATCATTCAGAAAAGAAAAAAAAAAAAGAAGTGTTGCTATTTATCTATAGCTGAGAAGTTTGCAGCTATGTATGAAATGCAGCCATGGCTGTTGCCTGAACATCATTCCTTTGGATTTCTGTCATTGTTTATTCTCCTCACAAAGGGTATGAGGCAATTAAACCCTAAGGCCATGTAAACACCACTGATGTCAAACAGCTGTGCTGTCCCTGGTATTCAAAGCCATGGAGGGTGGTATCAACAGAACTGCTTTTATGTGCCTAGTCACACTTTCTTCTTAATTTAAAAGAACCAAACAGTTACCTGAAAATGGGATTTCACGGTATTGCTGTCCCATACTCTCATAGCACAGGTCAGGTGCTATGAAAAGTTGAATAATAACTGCCAAACTTAAACTAATAGAGTAATCTGTAACTGTCATAAACTGAGATATCACCCCTTTTTTTTTGCCAAGGATTTTTCATGGCAGAAGACAAACATGCATCTTACCATCATTTTCAAAATTTTGTAGAAATATTTAAATACCTGAATTAAAAGTAAATGAGTAGGTAGACTAACAAAATTAATCTGAGGTTGTAGTTTAGAGATAGCTTTGAACTACTGATCACTGTTCACTTGTATTTATTACAGGGATCACCCTTAGGCCAGGGGTGGCATCTTGAAGGTTTAACACTCACCAGAGATTTTTTCTGGATATTTGACAAAACAGAACTTGCTTGCTTGCCAGATATTTTTCCGAGTCTCTGAATATATGGGGGAGGGAGGGAGGAAGCGAGGAAGGGGGAGAAGGATGTAAACAATAAATGAGAACTTCAAAGTAAGAACTAACAATGTAGAACAATGACTTGTATATCTTACAATATACGACAAAACTTATTTGTCTTCGTGTTATGCAGCTGCTAAAAGAAATCAGCGCACAACACAAAGCTTTGATATTTTCATAGAAAAAAAAGGTTTCTTAAAAAAAAAAAAAAAGACAAACCAAACAAACGAAAACCAACTAACAACTAGAACTTTCTACCCAACTGTGTTTACTCAATTTTTACATCCAGGGTTATAAAAATAAATATTGATAATTTATACAGTGTTTTAAACTATGTGGGCAGACAATACTGTACTTGCAAAACATTTGAGATTTATTATACGTAAAGATATGTCATCCTCAGACAGAAGTCATTTGGAACAGTGTATCTGCCATCAGCATTAACAAGCTACCTTATTTCCTTATCTTACATTGTACCCTCAAAAACTGTTAAGAGTATCTTTGAGGTATATTAATACATATAACATTTAGAGCAATTTAAGAGGCAGAATAAGCAGCTGAATATCT